GTCTTGGTTAATCGAATAAAAAAAGAAAAAAGAAAAACTCGTGGATAAGCCTGGCGAGCCCATCCACGGGCTGCCGTCGTCGCTCGCCGGATCTGGCCCCACCGTCGCCGGATTTGGCCACAACGGCGGCAGATCCGACCACCACGCCCGCGGATCCGCCTGGATCCGGTCCCGACGCGTGTTGGATCTCGCCAGCCGTCGCCGTCGGCGTGGATCTGCTAGGGAGAGAGGGTGAGGGACAGATCCTCCCTGGATCTGAGAGAGGAGAGAGAGGATGAGGGCATACCTCTTCCGCGGGGGCGTGGAGCCGCTGTCGCCGGGACGCCGAGCACCCTCCGCCGGATTTGCGTTGGATCCACGCCATCGGCCAGGGATTGTGGCCACCGCCGTCAGCCAGGGAGGGAGCGGAGGCGCACCGAGCCTCTACGTGGGGGAGGATGGCGCCATCACCGCCGTGGGGAGAGAGAGGGGCGGCGCCGCCGCTGTGGGGAGAGAGAGGGGCGGGCGGCGCCGCTGTGGGGAGAGAGAGTGGAGGGAGTGAGTGAGAGAGAGGGAGAGAGTGGAGGAAGGGGATGGCAGGATGGGGAGGGGACGACAGCGGGCTCGACGTCGGGCTGGGGAGGGGCATCGGGTGGGGAGCGCGCTCGATCTAAGGGAGGGAGGAAGAATAAGTGAAACCCTAACTCCGCTCCTGTATATATATAAACCCGATAGCTGGATTGGATATGGGTTTTTCTGGGCCTCGGGAATATTAACCGAGGTGGGCCTTATAAGAGGTCCGCCTCCGAAAATGGGGGTATTCGGTTAATATATTTTTAACCACCTCGGTTAATAAAAAATGACCGCCTCGGTTAATCCAGGCATTAACCGAGGTGGTTTAAAAGCCTGCCCGCCTCCGAGACCTATTTGCAAACGCTGCGAAAAAAGATTTTGTATAGTAGTGATTTGGCTAGCGAAAAATCCGAAATAGAAGATGGCTATATTTGGATGACCATTTAGAAAAACTGTTGAAGGATATGTTTTCACCAAAATATTTATTCCTAGCATTTAGGAACTCTTGAAGATGCTCTTACATGACAGAGGGAGTAGTACCATAAAAAATAGAATTTTATATGCTACTTATTCTTATTTCCTCTCTTTTTTACTAAAAAAGTGTGCGGCTCCATGGCAAATTAGGTACAAAACGATCTTGGAAAAAAACGAAAGAAGGAAAGAAAAAAGTTGGTTCAACTTGAACAAACAATATGATTTCCCCCAAGGAAATTAACTCCGAAAAAACACCCTAAAATGTCTCTTACAAATCCAAACACAACAAACAGTTCCAAGTTTCCAACATTTTCTCACTTTCACTATCAGCACAGTTGATACCTGCCTTCTGCAAGAGCACTTCCACACGTTTGCGTATGTTTCGCAACTCCTCATAAAGACTGTCCACACCAGACTCCCGTGCATCGTGAAAGGCGGCAAGTTGGCAGAAAAACACACCAACCGTGTGTTTGGTTTGGGGACCAAGTGGGTTAGGTTGGATCCAACCCAGTTTCTCTAGAATGGGATGAACCCATCTCGTGTTTGGTTAAAGGGGTGGGTTGAACCCGGTTTTTTGTTTGGTTAGGAGGGTCGAGAGGTATGGAATGATGATATTTTGACACCGTTAACATTAGCCATTAGTGGAGCCCATCTGTCATCCTCTTAATTTTCTTGTTTATTCCCATCACGTTATCCTCTTCCCTGGGCCACGCCAGAACACATCGCTAAGCCTGCCATAGCCGCCACCGCCACCGCCCCGAGCTTGCGTCCCCGAGCACATCACTGGCTGCCGCCAACTCCCCGAGCCCATGCGAGCCCACCGTGGCAGCCACCGTCCCGAGCTCGCCCGCCACCGCCCCAAGCTCCGAGCTCGCCTGCCATGGCCGCCACCGACCCAAGCTCGAGCTTGCCCGCCATGGCCGCCACCGCCCCGTGCCCGAGCTCGCCTACCATGGCCGCTGCTCGCCCAGATCCTGACGCCGGAGGAGCGTATCCGCTAGGGCCGCGAGCGCCGGGGACGGGAGAGGTCGCGGCGAAGGGAGGGAGAAGGAGACGGAGGTCCACGGCGCCGATCTGGGTTGAGCTCGTCCGCTCGAATTGAGGGGATCGTTCCAACCCGCATCTGAGGGTATATTCCCTCCTGTGTTCGACCCAAACCTACATGGCTCCTCAACCAAACAGCAAACCATCCGGGTTCAACCTGGGATATCCCACTCCAACCCACAATCAAACACACGACAAGTCGCCAACACGGGACGGGGGGAGGGAGGGTGACCACACATGACACACCATAGGCACAGAGAGGGTAGGCAGCGGCACACGGGCGCCGCAGAGGATTCCGCAGCTTTTGTTTGTCCTGCGGCACGCGCGGAAACATATCACAGTCGCACGGCTCTGTGATTCTGTTGCAAGGGGGCCGCCTGCCTGTGGTGGATGCCCAAGGCATAATTTAAAGCGGCCCCTGGCAAATGTGGCAGGGTACTCAATACTCTCGTACGGTGTATAGCAGGTTGGGCAGAATCCAGTTCCGCTTCCGCGTGGAGACGGATAGGCACAGACACAGGTAAAGAGAAGTGGCGATTTTGTGAAGCGCCTAGGCGTGCGTATCGTATCGTATCTCAATCTCCGCTTGTAGTCGGACCACTCGAATCGTACGTGCTCGTTGTTAGCTCACCGGCCACGAGGCACCAGAGCGTATAGTACGTACGTACATTTGTTGAGAGGAGCTTTCCGGTCGTCGTCGTTAGACTCTCTCCGACAACTATAAACTAAAATACAAGATTTATTTGTTATTTAGGTAGCGCTACAAGTAAAAGGTTTAATTCTTATTTTTTGTTTTATCCAACAACAAGACTAAAAAACAATATTTTCTATAAATAGGTCTTCACGAGAGAGGATACTCATATTTTAATTATGTCTCTTCTTACACTAAAAATGTGTCCTCCTTAGGTCTTCCGTAAAAGAACAAAAAGAAGAATTAAAGAAAATATAAGCGGAGAGGAGAGAGACCCGGGAAAGATCGGAGAGAATCAGAGAAGGTGCAGGTGGTGTATGCTTTGCGTAGGTGGCCGTGACGTGCGACGCTAGATTCTGCTCCCGCACCGGCACCGCGGTTTCAGCGTCCGGCCGTCTGCGTCGCCATCGCTCCTCACCCCGAGGCCCCAGCCCCACCGCACCCTCTCCCATTCCTTGTGCTCCTCCGGCGCCCCCTGGCCTTTCCCGATTCCCGTGGCCGCCGTGTTCCTTCCCTGAATGGATTTCGTTACCTGCAAAAAGGAGCCCTTTTTTAATCCTTTTTCTAAGTCCACCGTATTTGAGAGAAAGATAGATTCAGGAGGAGGAGGGCCCAGGGGCGGAGCCAGAAATTGGATTTTTTAAATGTTAGGGGTGCAACCGTGTTCAATTTTAAAATTTTATTTAAATTTTTAAAATTCCAGTGGAAAATCCACATTCATAGGGGGACTTGGCCCCCTACCAGCCCCCCTTGTCTCCGCCTATGGGAGGGCCTACCTCGTTGGTGCCGTCACAGCCGGAGGGACAGAGGAGGAACCGCGTGGGGAGGAGCCTCGTCGAGCGAGTGGGGAGGAGCCGCCACCGCTGGAGAGGAGAGAGGGAGGAGCCGCGTGCGAGCGAGGCGCGTCGCCTGAGCGACGGCTAAAATCTCAAGCGTCTGCTCTATAGGAAATGTGCTCGAAATAAGTTCATTTTTCATCAAAAGGACAAACTTGTAATAAAAAGAAAAACGCCGGTGTCACTTCATCTCAGTTACAACAATGATGAGTATTCAATTTTTCTCCTTACAGGAAAAAATATAGAGTATTTTCTCTCCATGATTGCTGCCAATCATACAGCTACATGTCACAGAGCTCAACTGCAGGCTCTTTTCAATTTGCTTGATTTAGACGCTTTAGTAGCATGACAGCATACACCCGTTATTCTTTCATAAAAAAACCCAACATAAACTTCCTGATTCTACACTGCAGATCTCTCGTTTACGTGTACAGCACACATTACAGGCCCACGACTCTACATAAAACTACGCAACAAGTCCACCAATAGCACTGCATTATTAGCACAAAAAAAAAACAGCACACTATTTTCAATATCGTGTATTTAACAAGTACGGAAAAGATTCCCTGCGAGACGAGACGCGAACTGAACTCCTACGTCTACCAGAGAACAAAATATTTCCCCCCCAATAATGAAGCACGAGAGGGACGTCCCAACAAAAAAAGCCATGATGTTGTCATCCAACAACCAATGGAGACGGACCTAGGGTTTTGGGTGCTGCACAAGACACACACACACAGCAATGATCGACCTGAAAATCCTAGCAGACCAACAAGCAGACGTACTCCGTACACGCTGATCATTTGGCCGTTGAAAGTCTTTTGTAGTGTCGAGTGCACGATTTCCTGACCTAATAGATTCCACAAAATCTTCACATCATAGACAGTGGATTGAAAATTACAGTCTGGAAATCGAATTGCAATCTTATCTAGTTTGCTGTTCGATCACTTTACTATGCAGATTGCACAGGCAAGGAAGCTATGATATGAATGAAATTAACTGGAATCCAGGTATCAGCGACTAAGCATAGTACTGCATAGAATGGCAAAACATAGTACCGTTCTATGAAGATAATCAAGGAATTGGTATTCTTGAACCAACAGTGTTATTCAATCCAAAGAAATAAAATGAAAACCTACCGTTATTGATTGTAAATACATGCTACAGAAAACAAAAACTAACACGTACCATGGCTGAACATGGCGCTAATATATATTTCCCATATAGTTTCGTTCCTTTCTTTGGGTGGTCCTGTCACCTATCATCCTCTGGCTACATACAGAACTCAACAGAAAGTACTACGGGTGTCCAGGGCATCTATATTATCTTAAGAAAATTTGAGTTACAATGGAGAATCCTCCCCTTGGGATTTAGCTCAGCTTCCCGGCAGAGATTAGTTTAGGTCATCTGCTGGCATCTGCCTCCTCTGGTATAACAGTTAAGGTCACTGTCACATTGTTCGCTCGTTCAACAAGAACTTTAAATGGTACTCCGACCTTGTCCCCCATGATATCAATGATCTGCAGCGAACACTTTATTATCATGTTTGTACAAATAAAGAAAAAGAATATAATCTTCCTCTTCAATTGAGGGTTTGAAAGAAAAGGAATATTGAAATTAGGAAAACAAATGTAAGCATGAGTCCACTACTGCAATTGGCTCTAACCAGCGACTTTTTCATTTCGAAATTCAAATAAGATATTACAACTTAATATGATAAATACTTTCAGGGAAATGTAAAGGAATCCTGCAAGTATATTAAATCATATGGCACACAATTTTTTTTTAAAGGACTGCAAAAGCTTTGCCATGGATTTTATTAGACAAAGGAAAAAAATAAAGGCAAGTGCCAGTCCAGTTTTTTTAATAGAAACTAGGCCCAAAAAACCATGATACAACTTCAAACCAACAACTAAAACCATCATATACCACACATCACTAGTAGTTATCTTACTTACCTCTTTGATGCTCTCAACTGGTTTGCCACCAAATTCAACAACCACATCCCCAGGACGAAATCCTGCTTGTTCAGCTGGAGATGCTGGTGTAACCTGATTGAGAACCCACATACTGTCAGCAGACCCATCATTGAGAAGGTATTATCTGAATCAGTACGACAAAAGTGAAGTGTGCCAAACATATATTCATAACTCACACAGCGAGCACAGTAGCTTATAACACATAGTAAAAGGTGCGTTATTTCATAAGAGGAATTAATAATAGCTTACCATAGGAACAAGCACCCCTTTTCTTACATCTGGAAAAGTACTTGATTTTTCTTTGAGCTGTGCAATGATCATGGGATTCAGGTCAAGCATCTTTAAGCCAAGCCATGGCCTTACAACTCTCCTGCATTGTATATTGGAAACAAGCATAAGCGGCTCCCAGACATGCAGGTAAAAAACATGAATAGTATAGGTCGTCCAAAATAAATCTACTAAAAAAGGTTGGTACACACAGTCTTACTCCCACAGATAACTTGCTTTCTCCAATTACAAACATAAGTTTCCATTAGGACATTGATATGGCCTTCAGTGTGACACTTTGACTAGCAATATCTATAAAAATATACTATCATAATGGAAATAGTTATAGATTATGAAAGGATTTTTTTATAATGGATCTAACATAGTCAATCTTGAGTAGTCGATTTGTATAAAATTTTATATGTTGATCGCAATTTTTTAATAAAAAAATTTACTTGGGACAAACCTAGATGTACATATATTTATGATTGAAGGATCTAATGAAGTACTATTTTTTTTTTCTCGAATACGCAGGAGAGCTGCGTATCATTGCATTAATTAAGTACTATTATCCTTTTATCAGATAGAATGAAGCTTGGAAACACTAATGGTATTGCATTTTTTATTGTTTCATTTTATTCAGACAAGTACTTTATTACATGTTTTGAACTTTCAATCACTAGCGTAATCCAAGAGCACACATCATACAAAACTATAGAAAGAAATTCCAAAGAGAAAGCTAAAAGACGGCGATACCATGATATAATAAATTGCAAGCAGTATTATGCTATGCGTAAGAGTAAGGCATACCCATTTTTCTTAAAGTTCTCTACTATTTTAATGACAGAGTCAATTGGTACTGCAAAGCTCAAACCATCAGCATTCCAAACTTTCATCACATTAACTCCAATAATCTCACCATCAAGGTTCACAAGAGGGCCTCCAGAATTTCCCTGCAGCATACAAATGTGTCAAAATAGTTTGTTCAACAGATATTGAGAAGGAAAACAGAATCCAACAAAATTGAGAATCATAAACAATGTGTATATGCATTGCAAGTAAAAGGCATACTACACTGACATTTTAATGTTTATTTTGACTAGAATCTACATAATCTTCTGCATTTTCTCGGGACATGATGAGGTGAGGTGACAACTGATGAGGCATAGTTACATGGCCAAAACATTTAAGAAGAACTAGTAAACTCATAGCAAATGCAAGATACTTGCACACTAATTTCACATGTTAGCGACACAAAACCAACGGTCTTGCCTTATTAATAGCGCAATCTGTTTGCAGATACTCCCTTCGTAATCCTCCAAGACCCAGATCACTGCTTTTCCGGTCAACACAGCTACAACAAAGAAAAACAAAAGTCAACGTAGACAATTTTAGTCAACAAAAAAAAAGTATGCATGCAATTTTTCATGAAACTATTAGTATTAATGATAACTCGTGAGAGTAAATTGAATAAAAATGATTAGGTCTTAACCTGACAATACCAGCGGTAACTGTGTTCTGAAGAGAAAGTGGACAGCCCAGAGCAACAACCCAATCACCTGGCTGAAGTCGAGATGACGATCCAAGCCTGGCAGCCGGTAAAGGGGTCATAGATTTAATCTTCACAACGGCGATGTCTGACAGGCGGTCAGCATTAAGGACAACACCTTCAAATTCACGACCATCTTGTAAAGTCACACTAACCTGTAACAATATTCAACCTTCTAAGAGAAAGATGATGAAGGAAACAGTTGAGTGTAAAAAATAATAACCTCCACAAAATCATAATCAGTGATCTCAAGCAGTAAGCACAGATACATATCATACTCTGTAGCAAGTGTTGTAATTATCCATGCTGCTGCAGCTTGGAGGATTGAGTCACTAAGTTTAGAACATTAACCGTAGTACTTAGTAGATACACTATTGTTGGTCAATCTCAGCTTAAAAGAAAGGTAAAAGGATTAAGGACATTAAGTTAACTCAATTACAAAGTCAAGATACAATTTTGAAACAAATCAAGACCAAAACTGTCCTAACTAGGTTTGAAATACAGAAGTATTAGCATCCACTAATGCCAAACTCTTGTCTCCAAAGATAAATACAAAGGTATCAGAACTTACTTATATGGAGTTAAATCAACCCTTCAGAAATCAGAACTAGTGTCTGAAATTTAGCTAAGAACGAGCTACCAAATTGACACAAATGGTTGTTCAAACAACAATCCAAATGCATGCTTCACATTGTCCACATGACCAATGATAAGTGGTTGACGGTATTTACAGTCAGCAATGTAAGGAGTGTGTACAGATAAGATAGTGCCAAGTTAGCAACCTTTCTCCTCACAATTGCTTTTGTGCTTTGAAAATCTGCAACAACATGCGCACATGTCAATATTGTCCCATCTGGATCTATTATAGTTCCAGATCCGATGCTCTGCTCTTGCACCCATCCATGCACATCTACAAAAAAGGTGATTCGAAAAGTTCAGTGCACACAGCTACAACACTGGTGAGGAATTTGACAGTTTTCCATTAGACGAGAATGTCCTCACCATGCATAGAAGAAATGTTTACAACAGCAGGACCAACTGCAGACGCCGCCTTGGCAATCGAATTCCTGCCTAGACACCCTGGGCAGCATCTTGAATCACCTGAGCTTCCGTCAGAACCTTGGTCTCTGTGGTTAGCCGGTGAAACCGATGCAGACGTGAACGTATTTAGTATTGGGAACCCTAGAAACACATTTGGACACAGTAAGATCTTCAACACACGGAGCTCTATCTTACCAAGACGAAAGGTAACAACTAACAAGGCAACTGCAGTTTCAGTTTCAGGTAAAGCAAAAATGCACTTCAGTCTCATCAGAGTTACTAAGGAAATATTAAAGGTTCTAACTACAAACATTCTCAATCATATCTTTGTCAGTATTGACCATCCTTAACCATCAAATCAAAGTTTATCATATTTTGAAAAGGATTATTGCCCGGACTCAAACTAAGACCCTGCAAGCAGGCTGATGATATGATATTTAGAAATTGCCACCTATCTACATGATCCAACACATGCAACTTTCCATGACATGCCCTTGTACATTACAAAGCGTGTTCGTCTTGACATACGTTGGTCCATTGACTATCAGTAGTTCAGCACGGCTGAAAAGTTCAGAGTCCAGCCTCAGGTCCCTCTACTGAATTGAACTAACAAGACCCGCCAATGCGCATAGTGCCGTACGCAGTATAGTGTACCTGAATCCAGACACTCACCACACCTTGGAGGTCTAGCCGAGACGCAATCTCAGGCCCAATAGAGTGACATTCCAAAATCCCCGAACCCAGAACCCCTTGGACGGGCAACCACTCTCGAGTCTCGGCTCCGCCACGCGGCAAAAGACCGTCTCTCCGACGGCCCAGACTGAAGAAGAAGAAGAAGAAGAATAGGCGAAAACGGACCTTGGTACGGAGACGGGGGCAGCCACGGGGAGAAGAGGCGGGTGCCGGAGCGGAGCCCCTCGGCGGGGAGGGCCTGGCGGAGCGGCTGCGGCGGGGAGACCGAGGCGTAGACGGCCGTGTCGGGGTCGCGGCCGCGCGAGAGGGCGGCGGCTGCGGCGAGGAGGAGCGCGGCGCGGCGGCCGCAGCGGAGGAGCATTCTGGAAGGATCGCTGGCTGGCATGGCTTGCCGCACACGAGGGAAGGAACGCGGAACGCAAGCAGAAGCAGAGCAGCGCGGCCGTCGCGAAGCGTCTGCTGGAGCGTGGAGGAGAGAAAGGAAATGGACCTTTTCTTGCGGGCGGCGGCCGCAAGAGGCTGCCGAGTTGGGCCAGCAAACCCGCAGGAATTCAGTCCAAGCGTCACATCTCACATGCTCTACTTACGGCCCACTTCTAGCCGCGTTCTCTGTCGCTGCCAAGCATGGACACACACGTCATGTATATAATACGTATATACTTTTATATCTAATATTAAATTGCAGAAATTTCTCCTCTATTTTTTTCATCCATATTAAATTTGAATTTTAATCTTAGTGTTACTAATTAGAGATCCTAGAAAGACTCCATGTTAATACTGATGATATATGCTAAGCAAAAAAAATTAGAAAGGTCTAACCTTTAATAATTCATTCATTGGGCTTTAATCATTATTGTCATAATAGCGAGTGTTACGTTTTTCTTAAAAAAAACTTGGTACATACCTTTGTCATTACAAAAAAAAACATAAAATTATTGACATCTTCTTATTATGGAAGATAAATCAAAGTAATCACTAAATTTACGTCTAGATTACCCACATCAGTCATTTTTCAAGATAATATAAATGAGCACACCTTTAGTTTGTATCTATTCTGCCAACTTCTGACCGGTTAAAAAAACAAAATAAAATATATGGATTGAGTAGTAAATATACTAATGCAAAATTATTGTGAAAACTCATTTAATAACTTTCTTCAAAATTACACATCACGGTTAAATTACAAATAAGCATATATAATTCTAAATTACGTATCACTATTTAAAACATAAATCTGCATTGATTAAGTCATCAGGGAAATGTACCTAGTGTATGTAGCACGACAGCATCGACATCGTTTATCAATCACACATTCGCTGCGAGAGAGGCAGGGCAGCCATTCGCAACCAACCTGGTCGCCGCACGCCATGAACATAGACAATCCTCCCCATTTCACTGCAAAGTAAGCTAAAAAATATTATTCGTTGATTTATTATAAAAAAAAACGTTGTACCATGACTGATAAGCCGAACTAATAAGATCAAGCGAACATGGCTGCCGCGTCGTGGGTGCCACGCTGCCGCGGCACCCCCCGCCATACTTGTCTCTGGCACACACATCACCGTGAGACTCAGGCCGGGAGCGATGATCGAGCGACGCCATCAACAGGGACTGCACGCAGGACCGTATCCAGTTTCAGTTTCGACGCCCTGATTGCAAAATCGATCAATCCGTCCCTGTCAAATCGTAGGATCGCAGTTTTTGCAGATTTAGACACGACATTGGAGCCAACACACAAAGCGCGGGCCGGCCGGCGACGCGAATGTGAATAATGTAATATATATAGGGGAAGCGCCGGTCAGGCTTGGGCTTTTATCCATGACGCTATGAGGCTGAATAAGACGACCGTATCCAGCAGAATGTCCAGACTGACTAGGATTAATTGTGTATCACTGGATTTCCTGTCGCTCACACTAGCTTTGTTGGCGTCCACGTGGACCTGACATCACGCGTCATGTTCATTAATCATTATCGATATATTTATATAATAATGCAGTGTCTCTCTCTCTCTCTCTCTCTATATATATATATATATATATATATATATATATATATATATATATATATATATATATATATATATATATATATAGCCAGCTACAAAATAAGTTATTTTGTAGCCACCTCCATTTACAATAATTTTATATACTAATTTACGATAATATCAATACATATTTACGATAGTTGGGTTACTATAACACATGGGGATATTTACCATAACGTTATAGTAAACCACTTAGTAAGGAGTTATTATAATCTCGTAAATTAACATAGTAATTATCGTAACTCAAAGTGGCTACAGAATAAGTTATTATATAGCCAGCTACAGCTAGTAGTTATATATATATATATATATATATATATATATATATATATATATATATATATATATATATATATATATACACACACACGACGTACCAATCAGATGCTCCATAATGCAAAGACTTTTGGGATACTTTTGCGTTTATTAAGTTTGACGAAGTGTGTGACAAGGGTGTTGTTAATGGAGGTGAGGTCGATATAGCCCTGTTCGCTTGTTTTATAATCCATATTTTTCGGCTTGTCTTTTCAGGCAGAACAGTGTTTTTCTCTCACAACAAATTAGCCGGAACAGTATTTCAGCTTATTTTTTCAGCGAAGTGAACAGGGCCTATGTTAAGCATATACCACCTTGCTACATCACATCCTCATGATGATCGCACTCTAGGTCAAACAACAATAATTCTGGTGATGATTCCATGGAGGCCAACCTTTCATACTGAATGCCCTGTGGACACAGTCAAGTTTAATTTGTTCTTATTAAGCATTGATTTCTAGCTTATGGGATGCATGGTTACATTTAGCATGTGTTTGGTTCCGGACATTAAGGTATGAGATGGTCTTATCCCTGATTTTGAGATATGTCGATCCCGTTTTTTGTTTGGTCGTAAGAGAAACAGGACTATCTCTATCCTATTATGTATTTGGTTGGAGGACACCAAAATATGAGATAAGTTACCTATGGTGCCCATTGGCCATCTTCTCCATTCTCCCTTTCTTCTTCCTTATCCGACACACCTCAGGAATCTCATCGACGAGTTCCGCGCACTCAATCTCGCTAGAGCTCGCACTAATATGCACGACCTCATCTCGCCCACCAATGTTGTTGTCCAACTAGCAGCTTGCCCACAAGCGTCAATGTCTCACCTGCTGCTCTGCTACCGGGCTCTCCTGCATGCTCGACCCAACCCCAGTCTTGAGTTTTCAAGGGCTTAGAGCATAACAAAAACTCAAGGCCCCTTGGTATAATAAGCACTCATGATCACAACTTAATGGCTAGTGTGACTGAGTATAGAATACTGATCGATGATTAGTCGTTAAGCCAATGGAGAGAATTTATTAGACAATCTATAAAAACCATAATTTTAATCAACTCATGTATGGCCATGTGGATTCAATTCTCATTTTAGAATGAACAAACTACAATAAGGGGAAGGGAACCTACGGTGCTTTCTTGAGCCTTGTGGATTAGTGGTCTATGTTGCTCTCTTGCATGGAGTCTCATAGAATCGGCTATCTATGGATCAGGGTGATCGATGAGTCGCAACATAGTGGGAATCTCGAAAAGGTGAGGCATCACGACTTGCTTCAAACAACATGACTCAAACAATGTCTCTTGATGATGCATCGTGGTGCTCGGTTGCTACCTAGCTTCTTGAGTTTTGACACTTTTGGGGTCACATATACAACATATTAGTAGTCCCTCCGCCGCAAATTGAACACAATTATAGTATAGTACCATGTTAAAGCATCTTGAGTTTGACTAGCTATAAATAAATAAATAAATAAAAATATCAATATTTAGATTATCAAATAAGGATAATTAAAATTATCATGAGATATATTTTTATATGATATTTATTTGGTGTTATGAATATTAATATTTTTATGTATATATTTGATCAAACTTTAGACAAATGAATCAAAAATATACCTAGAATTATATTATTTTTTGGACACTACATATTACATATCTAGAGAGGGAGCCCCTTTGTTTCGGGAGCCTAGAACAATGGCCCGTCTACCCCACGTTGACTCAACTTTTTGGTGAATAAACTGTTCATTTACATTTAAACAACTATAAGATTATTTTAAGTTATTACAAGAAAAAAAATCTATCAATGTTGTGTTTTGTATTTTAATTCAGTACAAGTTTTATTGGACACTGTCGTATTATTACCAATTTTAACTCATATTATAGATGTCATGATTATCCTCGAATAAATTAGAGGTCTTAAATTTCATAGAAAGCGAAAAGATAAATAGACATGTACCACTCTCTATCATCTTTTTCCACGAGTATTTGATTTTTTTCTCCTGTTGCAACGCACGGACATATTTGCCGGTAAGTAACAAAGCTCAACCAGGTATATTTTGATGCAGAATTGGTTTCATTGGTCTGTTTGGCGGTGCATTAAATCGAGAGATGCCCAGGTCCAGCGTTTCGCTGATTGCGCGCGCGCGTTCGTTCGTTCGTAGCAAATCGGCAGAAAATCATGTGATGCCCTACATGTATGTGAAGAAACGAAGTACTCCTACTAGTACTAGCTAGGTCACCCAGGTGGAGCCCATCCATCGATGAGAGGATGCTTCGTTCTTGCTGTTGTGGCTCTAATAATCCAGTAATTTTTTTTGAGCAAGAACAATCCAGTAATTAATCCTAGTTGTAAGTAGTTTCCGCAGGGCATGAATCCGAATCCAGCGCGGTCAGGGCGCGGCGTATGGGCGCCACCACCTGGATGGCGATGCGTTTGCTCGGTCTCTGCCACGCCTTCGCAAGAAAAGGCCCAGTCCAGTGAAAACAGCTGACCGAGCCTCCGAGTAGTAGAACAGAACGGCCCACGGACGCGGGCACTGCCGCTCCCTGTCCCTCTAACCTAATTTTTTACTATTTGACCCTTTTTTAAAGAAAATTTACGTTTAGCCTCCTAAGAGACTTAAACTCATCTTTGACCATAGAGGTCGACGCCATGAGTCCTCGCGCCAAGGTAACACGTCTCGGCGCCATAGATCTTAGCACCGAGGTGCCTGGCCGTGCACTGCAGGGAATCCTAAGTGGTGTTGACGTGTCTGATACCTCGGCGCTAGAATACATGGCGCCGAGCTCGACGTCGCAGATCTTGGCACCGAGATCGGGCGCGCACGACAATGTCATTACTATCTCTGCGCGCATCGAGAACACACACGAGAAAGTTAATTCTGCCCTGCAGGGCATGTGCTCTCAGACATGCATCCGTTGGACCACCTACCTCGAGATATGTGCTACTTTTCCTCCGACTGCAATACAGATATATAAGGCCCTGTTTGGTTTCCATAAGTCAGGTGACTTATTAAGTCAGGTGA